AATGAGAATCAAGCAAAACCTTTAACAAGGATAATCAACTATCCTAGATGATAGTCAATCATCACCAATGATTGTTAAATGCAAAAACCCACTTCAACATCGAAGCTAGTGAGCCAAAATGCCTTCCCCAACAACTTCAAACAAATGGAACAATGAGCATAAAAACTCAAGAAACCAAAAGTTTGAAGAAGTCTATAGCCAAGTTTTGTCTAAAAATGATCACAAGTCTCATAGAAGCTAACTTCAATGCTAAAGAAGAAATCATGGTGCAACCCACAATATCTTCCTCAACACATCCATAACCTAAACTTCATAATGCCAAAGCTAATGAAGAGCATTTCTGCATCAATCCAAAAGTTAAGCATAACGAAGCTATGCTTAACAAGTGATCATCAAACGATCCTCCATGAATCCATCTATAGCAAGACGTAACGCACATCATAACAAACACAAAAGAAATCATCAATGATCAATATATTCCAACTCAAATCTAATAAGGATTCAAATATTCAATATCAATTACTAACTCATCCTCTTGTAAAGCTAGTATAGTTCACAACTAAATCATGTTTCAAGAAAAAGCTAAAGCTCATCCCCTACTAAACAATCTCATCAAGAACACAACTAACTCAACTTGCCACTCAGTTCGTTTGAACGTCAACACAGTTGCTAACTAACAAATGCACGAATGCCAACAACACAAAGAAGCCAAATCATCAACACTATCTTCATCAAGACTAATGAAACTCAATATCAATCTTTGGGAGGATATCTTATTTCACTGGAATCTCAATATCAACAATGTCAATGACAAGGCATCACTTCAATGCAATCAACACCATAACAAAGCTAAAAAAAAGCACAAGTGAATCATCACCCAAAACTCTTTAGCAACTAAGCTAACTAAAGTCAAAGATACTTTACTCAGTATCTGAGACTAATCCTTCAACAACACTCAGCTACAGATAACACATCATCAAGGAGTGATTCACCACGTCCAAGACTCAATGAAATCTAACACTATAGACTAAATGTAACCAAATGATATCGTCAGAGGTAGAGTCGACATGTCAACATGTCAACATGAAAAAAAAAATCATGTTAGTCTAATAACACAATCCTCCGCAACACCATTTGGTAAAGCAAGCCCATCTCTACTAAATTATCATCGAGCAAAGCAAGTGTCAGTACTCCTTGACTAAGTCTATAAGTAATCATTAGTCGCAAAGCAACTAACAATCACTCCTCAACTTGCCTTTACAAGACCCAAACACCAACTTTTGTCAACAAGTTATATACTTGTCTAACATGGACATAATACCCCAGGTACAAGATAAAAGTTCATAAACAAGCACAAACTAAATTACCACTCGAATCCAACTCAACCGCAATAAGCTCACTAATGCATTTAGCCAATAGCTCTAAGCATGCCTTGAAGAGGCTAGCTATGCGTAATCAACATTTAGGCAAAACTAAAGTGAAAACCACGAGATGGACTCATATCGGTACACAACCTCCTTATAGACATAGCTATAGTACAGGTACCAATATCTCAACTTCAGACAACTAAGTTGGACATTACCATCCTCAGCCAAGGCACAGGGCCACCAAGACTAAGTCAAGATCAGTGAAAGCTCACTACTCTCATAGAGTCTAATGTAATGCAAGGTGCAACCTGCCACCAAGCACAACGTTACAAAAGAAAGGTAAAAGGGTCACCTTTATGAGAAAAGTGCACAACCACTTTTTTACACCAACTCCAGACTCTATCCAACGCAATTGCCTTAACCCCAAAAGTCAGCATCCCTTTCGGGCCATATCATACAAACTACTTACCAAGGTCTAAGCTAACCGAAGTCAACTCCAACCCCTTCACTAGTTTGTACTGGCTTACGAAAACGGAAAGGTTTTCGAGCAAAATGATCGACAGATCAGCCATTGGAAAAGCCTAAGAAAATTTGTGGAAAATTTTCCATCCTAGAGAAAGAATGACTCTCAGTTCAGGAATACAAACTTTCAAGACTCAACCAACTTCCTCCTACTAACAACTTCACATAGGTTCACCTCAACACAAATTCTCATGATCCATCAATATGCTTAAGCATCGAACATCTTTGCCCATTTTTCTGATATCCAACACCGATATCCGCAAAAATGTAAAATGAACATCCAAGGCTTGATCACGAAGACCACATCTTCAGATATCCACATTGCACTAACACTCTTCTTCAACCACCTTCAAGATCCAATATGAAGCAAAAACACTGACAAGAAAAATGACATGGAAAATCAAGCTTTAAGGAAAATTCCTTATCACTCGAATAACAATGCCACTTTTACTAACACAAATGCTAGTGATGTCGATGCCTCAACTACACACCTTCTCCATCCAACAATCTACTCCAAGTGTTAACGGATCAACTGATGAGCTATAGCAAATGAAAGTTACAACCCTTTTCCAACACCTCAATGGGCAAACTCAAGGAAACAAGGTACCAACATAAGCTTAGCATAATTGAACCACCATTGAGAATCCCGTCAAAGCTACTACAATGCTACTTTGTGTAAGTAGACTAGCATCACCATCAACCACTTTGGGGTTGATCATCTTTTAACCAAGCAACTTCGTAAACACATTGCTCACTATCACTTGGATATGATATGGAAATCACAATGACTTGATCATCAATTGAGCAACACCATAAGCAATGCACATGTCACTACTGCAAAGGTTTATGTGAGTATCAAGTGCTAACTCAATTCGATAAAATGCAACATAAATGTCACACTTCATTGATAGAGATTTACAACACCCAACACCACTAACTTTTGTTCATAACACAGACAAACTCATGCCACTCTCTTTCCGACCAAACTCAGAACTAATCCAACACTAAGCTACTCAAGGAGCAATAGCAAGGTTCCCCGGAAAAGAATTGAGCATTATAACCCAAGTTTTCTAATAGCGAGCCTAGACAAAATGGTTTAGCATTTCACCACTATCCATCCCATAACTCACCATTTGTAAGACCATTATCTTCAAGATGCATCAAGGTAGGGACTCTTGATTGCATGATGTGAACACAAGCAATGAGTTAACACTTTGTTGCAAATCATCTCTCCAAGAGAAGAAGATGATTTATGTGTTTGATCCTTCGTCCCTGACAACTTTCTTTTTGATCTTATCTTTGACTAAACTTCAAGTTTGCTTTCATACTACCTTCAGTCCAATCCAAGAAAAGTTTATGAGAGAGCACAACAATGATTATTTGAACCAATAGACTAATCCCTACAGTCTTGATTGATCCACTTATAATCACGCATAGGAAGGATCCACTAGTGCCGTGCTAAACAGCTACGGACTAGCCTATTTGCCACTCATAGCAAACCCAGGGAAAGTTTACTTTCACCTACGGTATATGGAACAACTAATAGAACCCCCGTTAGGCTAACATTAATCCTGCTAACTCAAAGTGCAACCTTGAGTTGCTAATGTGCCTCACTCACGAGCCCAAGCGCAAACTCGTGCAACCAGAACAACTCAGTCCTCCTTGTGAGCCCAAGAGCAAACTCACATTATTACGGTACAAAAAGGTAACAAAATCCATACCCAAGGGACCATTGCGAAGCCTTTGCACCCAAATGTGTACCCACTCGGATCATCGTTTCCATCTTTGCGTATGCAACGAGACTAGTTGCCCAATCTCATTGGATAGTTCTCACCGAGACTTGGCCTCTGATACCAAATGTAGCACACATGGTTTTGACCCTTTATCCTATGGTGATTTACCATAGGATAACACCACGAAGCGGAACCTAAACCTTCTTTGAGCCACGTGTCACATGCCACATGTCCAAAGGAACGTGGTGTGGAACCCGAGGTTCAGGGCCTTGGGCCACTAAACAAAGGAATGGTGCCAAACTCCCAAGCGTGAAGCCAAGGAGTGATGGAACCGGACCACAGAGCAACTCCCAAGTATATAGCCCAAGGAGCAAAGGGACAGGAGCCCGGAGTGACTTGGAACAGTCCTGGAGCAACCAGCATCCTAATGCCAGGACTAGCACGCAAAACGGAGCCAAACGGAGTCTGATGCTATTTTGGCATACCGGTGGCCTAACGTGAGGATATGGGTACTCCACCAACTAGCATGGAATGGAACTTGGGCTTAAACCCAAGCCGGATGCAAATCAAGGATAGGCACACAAGTGGGAGCTAGACTATGCTTCAAGTTCGTCGGCCATGCCCGACCTACCCACTATCCCTACTATACATTTGGAACCCCCCCCGCCCCCCCCCCCCTTGAGGAACACATGCTTTGGGCTTTCACCCCAAGCCTCCCTTAGTATTAGGAGTTAATCTCTGGGACAAGCTTGAAACTTACTAAATATGGAATGTTCCTAGATTGCGAATTTGGACACGGGACGAACAGTATTGTGTTCAGGACGATCTTTATATTCTGTAGATATGCCAAATGAGCAAATTTGGAAACTTTCCATAAATAGCATTTGGGACCGAAATGAGACTAACACAAAGGGCATGATAGCGAGGGTGTTTGGCAAACACAGTAAGCTATCATGTAGCAATATTGAGGGACCAATCTCAATATGCGAGGGTTCTTGCCAAGCCAGTGTCCGTAAGGACTGGCTGACAGGTAACTTTCAATACCCGAAGTCACATTCGCGACAATACCCCTAAGAATCAAAAGAGATGCATGTGGAATCCACAAGATGGGTTGCTTGATGCGTACGACAGGGCACTCCTTGCAAAGCTGGCAACCATGAAGAATGTTGCTAATGCTTATAATAATAATACATATAGTAATAGTACAAACAAGAGGAGGAACAAGGCTAGTGAATTATTTTGCTTTGCAGTGTTATTCAAGATGGGTAGAAGCAATTGGTAAAACCAAGACAATATAAATCAATTGGTATGATCTTTAGTACCAAATAAATACTAATATTATTTGGTATTTTAATTTGCTAGTAAACATATTTAGAAGTTTTTTAAAAATGAGTAACTTTACTTTTGCCTTTTTTACAAAATATCAAAATCACATTCTTTCAAAGTTTAAGCGCGTTTGCTTTTGGTCTCTGACAGCCCCTGAACAAACGAACGGAGAAATCGGGCATGCTTGATCAATCCAAAGAAACTAATCACTAAAAGCTTACCAGGTGATGGATTTTGTTTCGAGGATGACAAAACGGCCTCTTTCCATTCCTCGTATTCTAGGCATGTTGTCCTGCCTGGATCCTGCATGCAAACAAAACTAATGTCTTTAGAACCTGGAAGTTGCAACAAGCAGATCGACGCCTTCCTACTGACCTCGAGATTCGTGGCATCCGACAGAGCTGCAGAAGAAATGCTCGCACTGTGAGATCAGGCCTTGCAGAAAAAATATCGAGTTCTTTGCATACCTCTCTTGCATCCTCTAGTTCTTGATTCGGATTTCTCTTTCTCAACACCGACCAAATCGAAGCAGATATCTGTCATAGACGCGGTAACCTGTAGAAAAATAAAATCTAGAATCGGCAATACAATTGCTCGCTGGAGCTTACGTTGGAAAACTCAGGGTCCGATGTGCTAGACACCTCCATCAATTTAGCTTTGTCAACTTTAAGCTGTTGAAATATACAAAAAAAAGACAGTAAAACCGTGAGAAAAAGCATTGGAAACTGCTTGCCTTTTGCTTTCTCGCGCATAAATAAAATGTGACGCTGATGAATACAGGGTGATCGAAATCAGCGCTTCGACGTCGTGCTTCTGGTAAAGTGGCCAAAAATCGCTCTTTGTATCTGGAGCAAAACGTAGCGAGCTCGCGCACATTCAAGCTTGTCCTGAAGAAAAAAATGTTATTCCCACATTTTTTTTCCATCTCTTTTCTTCCTGGCTTTGAAGAAATACCTGATACCAAGAGCATTCTGGACTGTGGTGAGTGATCTATTGTAAGCCTTATCAGAAAGACCACTCAGCTTGATTCCCTTTTGCCGATCAAATGGAACTTGCATCCTGTCCGAGAAGAAAAGAAAGAAATAAACTCCACCCACAAAGAAATGCAGATCTGGATACTTACATCGAGCACGCGATCTCGAAACAGAGCACGGATTGGCAGACATCGCCCTGGAATAACACACAAGAGCATTGGACACCCTCAAGTCACAGGTGGAAAGAAAGAAGCAAGCACACTCACAATGCCAAATGCCGCCGCATCAAATTCCATCCGGCAGAGGTGCAGCAGCTCCTCCGCCTTGCGCAGCACTTCGCGATCGGCCGCCATTCCCAGCTGCCGCTCCAGCACCTTCATCTCCATGGCACGCGAAGAACCTCGCGTTTGGAAATAGGCGGGAAAATAACGAGTTAACCTAAACCACGAGGGTTAACATTAATGGTCAACTATAGTCAACCTTGGCGTTGTAGCCCCAATTTTATTTGGAACGATGGATGGATCATACAAAACTTTTTAAGATTGTAGAAAGCTGCAGGGAATACAATGACGACGAGAGTCCTTCATTTCTCGCAGTGAAGAACACAATCAAAAAAAGGAGATGGCCGAGTAGATCATATCTTGTTGAACGCGACGATGTCACAACTTAGGATGTACTCCGCCGCCAGGCCCTCATCGATCAAGAAGTATGTCACTTGAGGCTACTAATACTGCTCCGTTGGATCTAACTTTTGGTGCTGTGGGGTGTAATCATATTGGTATTGTGCCCATCCTTGATGTGTTATTTGTTGGTCTCTAGCTTTTGTGGGATGTGATTATACGGTTTATTCTGTTCTCAATGTTCTACCATCTCTTATTGATGTGGAGTCTGATCGTGATATTGATTGGTGAGCTATGGATGATGCAGTTTAATTCTTAGAGAATGTTTGAGGATCAAGTTTGTGGAAAGACAATGTGTACGAACTTGGGTGGATTCCAAAGTGTGATAATGAGCTTGATTATTATGGAGAAAGTTTTGGAGATAAAGTGGAGATTTCGCGAAGTAAGTGTCAATATTTCAATCTATTATCTAATCCTTTCTCTTTCCCTTTTGCTCTTTCCTAACTATTTTTTTATTTTTCGGCCTGAGCCACCTTCTCAAGTTCCTAGTATTTCTTCTTCATTTGTAGTGTTTTCTTCTTTTGGCATATTGATCATTTATGACTTTCATGATTTTAACTTTCAATCCAGTGTTGAGTTGAGTGTTTTTTATCCTCCTCATACTAATCTGGATATTGAGTGTATCCATGAAGTTGAGAATCTTGCTGTTGTTTCCCTGGTAGAGTCTTTGATTAGTTCTAGTATTGAGTATTTCCCTATTCCAAGGGTTAAATCACTTCAACAAAAGCTGCCAGAATCTCCAAGGATGAGTATTAGAATGGTGAAGAGAAAAGTTTAGCATTTTTGTTTCTTTGCTAAGGGGAGATAGCTCAGATGGTAGAGCGCTCACCATCAAAATATGTTTGATTATTGGATCGTTCCAGGCAGTTTGACCGATTTTACTGGTGTTGACCTCTGGGGGAGCTATGGATGGATGTTGCACCGTGAGACTGTCAACAGAGCAATGCATAGATATTTATCTTGTGTTTCTTTTTCCCACTTTTTTGCAAACGAGTAAAAAAGTTTCGTTCACTGCAAGTACATTAGGATTGAGCCTGGAGGAGTTGCCATCAAATTAAAGATGTCTTATCTTTTTGAAATATTGAGCATTTCGTGATTGTGAGATTAAATCGCTGTTCACATCTAGGTTTGGGCTCTTTGGCATGCTCAGTACAAGTCCGACAATCCACAGCGTCACAAGCTCTTGTTTTTTTCACAAAGCCAAAAGTACCTCTTTATTTTCTATTTTAAGTCAAGGGTTAGGTTATAATCTTTCTCGCTTGGATTTTTCTATTGTAGAAGCTCTCGTCAGGTAAGCTATGGTCTCTCGCGCTCACGCCGCCCCAACGCTTGCCCGCCGAGCTCCAGCGCCCTGGCATGGCGGCCATCACCGAGCTTCACACCCGCGAGCTCCAGCTCTAGCTCCAGCACATCCACCACACCACCATGGACACCATCCTCGAGGAGCCCACGAGCCAGTGCCAGGTTTAGCTCCAGTTCTTCAAGGTGACGCTCCAGTTCGAGCCCCAGCGCCAGCTGCTTTCGTTCACCCTGCTCGCGGCCACCCTGCTCATCTAGCTCCAGCGCCTGATGCTCGCCACCATCATCATCACGGTGATGGAGCTCCTCTGGTTGTTCACCACCATCACCATGGTCACCACCATGGTCACCACCATGGAGGACGCCACAACCACCACCACCACCACCACCACCGTCGCGAGGGTCACGACGCAGCAGTGGCCACACCAACACCCGCAGCAGTAGTTACAGTGGTTCGGAGGACGCCGTGGTCGCTGCTCCAGCTTCTTCTGTGGGTTTTGGTTGCGATCTTGGTGCTGCTCGCATGCTTTTTGCTCGTGCGATGGATGTTCTCTCGGAGGAAGCAGCGCAGTAATGCGATCTTTCAGGATCCCGGGTGGCAGATCGAAGTTGTGGTGGACGATTCTCTGACTGAGAAGAAACAGCTGGAAGCTCACACTCGTGGTTCGCACAGCAATGGCACTCTGGGATTCTCCTCAAAGTGTCCTGCCAACACTGGCAGTGACGCGTAAGTCAGCACAGTGCATGCCTTGTCACATGGAAGATTGTGTACAAACAATCTTCAAGGAGATGAAGTTGCAGAGCAAGAAGACAGCAGGGTCTTGCTCAAGGACGGTAAAGATCACATACAAGGGTCCACTGGTGGAAGTCACCAGACTTGGAAGTTATTGCGCAGCTGGCTCAGAACATGGACTGGAAAGTAGAGCAGGAACCTACCAAGTTTCGATTTGACTGAGCTATCCTCTAGAGGTGACGGGGGAGCAGACGTTAGTGCACCTCCAAAGGCCAGAGAAGTTGCTTGAGACGAAAGGTTTGAGAAAAGGTAACGTACTACTTTTGCTCTCTGTTCTTGCAGGTGCTCAAATCTCAACTTCGATGAGAAGAAGCAGAGCAGGGCATAGCGGCCAGATAGGTTTCTCCAGAGTCAAGAGCATCATAAGCCAGGAATCAAGCAAGTGCAAAATTGTGGAAGTATGGTCGAAGTCTACACTGCGGCTTGCAACACAGGTTGTTTGACAGGATGGGACGAAGAACAGGATAGGTTGGTCTACCTCGCAAATTAACCCAATGCATTCGTCGCAAGCAGCCTCGTGGACATGTGGAAGCATCAAAAGTGTTCAGGAGGACAAAGAAACACGACGTTGGTTGCCTGGAACACGATCATCATGGGACATGCACGTCTTCTATCAGATGCAACGAGAAGCTGGCCTGCCTCCAAACGCTGAGACTTTGCATGGAGCAGCAAAACGTCGTTTCCTGGGAACAACCTTTGCTCTTGACTGCTACAAGCAAGCCGCAGCCAAACGCTCAGACTTTCATGGTGGCGCTCAAGGCACGCGGCGACTTAGCAGAGAAGAGGCTCCACTCGCAGATCTGGGAGAGAAATCTGGAGGGAATCCAGTACTCAGCGTGGTCGCTCAATGAGAGAAAAGCTTTTCTTGGGAGGTTGGTAAACTTTGCAAGGAAAGAGTGTCATGCAAGGTTGATGGAGCCGTCAATTGAAGATGGTACCTGAAAAGACACAAATGGATCTTAGCTGGCACACCTTGGTGAAGAGATAAAAAATATGAGAGACAATACTTATTTCTTAATTAATTTGCTGTAGTATCATTCATTGAGTAATTTAGTTATAAACTTATTTTGTGAGTGCTTGGAATATGGAAAGAGAATACAGAAATGTGCATATCAATTAGCCCAAAAACTCTAGCTTATATACAAGAGCAAGTGGTCCGGATTGAAACCAATCCGACGGCTACCAAAATCCCACTACGCTAATATTAGTATACGGCATCGTAGCTGTACACTTCACATCACATCATCCCTCCTCTCAGAATAATGAAAGACTGTCAGGGTTCTCTTGTAGATGGGCCAGGATCTAGAGGAATATCAGGATGAGGCATCGGCGGATCTGTAGGTGGTATTAACTGCTCCTAATCCCTTCGTATGAAGCGTTTCAACCGCTGCACATGCACAATCTCTGGAGGATCGGCCTGCTGGACATCATGCTGAACCTCATAAACTTGAGGTCCAACTTGCCGCAACACTTGATACAGTCCTTTCTATTGTGCAAGGAGCCCCTTAGATAAACCACGTAAGTCTTTTGCTTCGTGCGGAGCCCAATATGTCGGAACAGATCAAGCTAGGAATGTTATGGCCAGCATTTCGTCAAGATCTTGTCGGCCTTGTGCATGCACTTGCTCTTGCCACCCTTGATGATGCTCTTCGCTTGGCACAACGTTATGAGACGTCGCCTCTTCCACTTCTCACTGCACGTCCTTCCACTCCACTTCCTATGAGTGATGGTCCTGTTCCAATGGAGGTTGATGCTGCTGCTACTCGAGTCCAAGGACAAGGGTGAGGATGTGGTCGTGGCCGTGATGTTCGTTGCTGGGCGTGTGATGAATCTGGTCATACTTATCGGCGTTGTCAGCGCTTTTTGGATTGGTGACCTCCATTTCCTGGGTGGAGACCTTGGCGTCAGCAATGTCCTATTGGTGCTGCTGCGGTGGAAGGTTTTGACACCGAGATGCATCCAGGAAACGAGGAGTCGTGTGAGTAACAGAGGGACCTTGTGCGAATAAGTCAGTGACCCTCCATCTTTCTTTCGGGAGTATCATCAAGGGGTTCACTTGGCACCGGTTCATCCAGTGTTTACTTTCCAAGCTCGTTTTTATAACAAGAGGTCTCCTATTATTCTCTCCGTGTTGGTTGATACAGGTTTGAGTTTATCTTCTATTACTCGACCTGTTGCCACACATTGCCGTCTACACTTGCGTTGTGCGGCGGAACTAGTTTTCATTCTTTATGGCAACGGCCGTATGCATGCCTGTGCACGGGATGAGGTGGACTTAGTTGTGCGTGTGGGCGATCTCGAGCTTGAGTTGCAGTCATTGCAGGTGGTGCCGAGTCAAGCTTTTGACCTCATTCTTGGTATGGATTGGTTGCAGCGCAATCATGCCAAGTGTGATTTTGAAGCTTCTCCCCCTTGTCTCATACTTCCTTATGTTTCATCCATTCCTCTCACTTCTGTACCTTTGTCCCTTTACTTCTACCTCTGCTTCCATTACTTTTGTTTCCCCACTATTTCCTCCTATGTTTCCATCTTGTTCTGCTCTTCCCTTTTCCAATCCCTCCGACGATCTTTGTGTTGCAGCGGTGGACCGGCTCATGAAGGAGTATTCTGATCT